TAAACAAATAATTAATTTATAAATCGTTTAACATTAATAATTTTAATTATTTAATCACACCACTTGTGGAATTAGAGATCGTTAAAAACGCTACCGTTCGAGTATGGACCTTTATATATAAAGAGCAAAAAATAGGCAGCTCTCATACGCCGGAAACACCGACTACAGAATATAACTAGATTAAATGTTGTCAATCATAGAAACGGCATGAATATTCCTTATGAAATAAAATAAAATTTAAATAAATTTTTAGTATGAGTTAATGTCTTAATTTCACGACAGCAGAGCCTGCCTTATTAATTGATTACAATTAATTCGCCAGTTTGTTCCGCGAGTGTGCGGTTAAACTACAAAAACTGGCTTTTCTAATCAGAATAAAAAAAAATATTTTTACCTCGGATATAAAGCCGACCTTCTCGGCGGGATTATATGAAAAAATAGTAAGTTTGTTAGGTTGGTTAATCACCGAACCCTGATCACGCATACTTAAGCCTACTGATCCGTTGTGATATCTATGTTGGGTCTGCGAAGGAGAAGATAAAGTTTAAGAGATTAGTGATATCTACAGATGCAAGCGGGGTGGGTCAATTGAAGTAGAGATCACCAAGAAAGTGAAGAGGGGCAGCACTAAACGCTGGGAAGTTGACAATGACCACTTCTCTTCCTCTACATCATTACAGCTGCGGCAAAAGTCGTTAGAGAAGCAGTTCATTCTTATAGCATGATATATGACAGTGTATGCTACAACAACAACATCAACAACAAAAACAGTGTCCAGTTATTACGGAGGTTGTGATGCTTATATAGGCCACAAGAAGGATTAAATACTTAGTTCTATTCACTTCGATTCATTACCAAACTTTTATGGTCCCATTGCAAGTGGTTACACTTTGTCTTCTGCTGTTGGACCTTCCGATGAAGGTTTGCAGAGTTTACCGTGGTTATGCCTGTTCCTCCTTTACACAGTTCATCCCTCAATTTCATGGGATATACTTATGAGCAAGGGCTCGAACCACAGACGTTTCGCCTAGAGTGGAGAGTTTGTATCTCTCTTGATTTCTCTATATCTTATTGCCACCTTAGAGATGGTATGATTGCATTAAATAAAAATTATAGGTGGAGTTACTACATTAAAGTTGAGTAACCATGAATTGCCTACCGTTATCGTGGTTGAGCAACTGCTTGCTTCGAGTGCTGCCAAGTTAATATAAACTCATACAGAGCATTTCCTTTAGACTTCATCGCAAACAGAGCTGTACAGTCCAACGGAATACTGGATACAGCATGCTATATGCATACATATTGTACATACATACGTACTTCTCATATATATTATTAACATTATTAGTTTTTGTATACTATTGCAACGCTTTAACGGAAATTATGCCTAATCAATTATTAAATGTGCATTAAAATCTATTTATTTATACTTCACTAAACTTTACTAAACAAGTAAATGTTTGTTTTTCTTTTAATACTTTAATTTTGAATTTCAATTAAAATTTTTAGTAAATATTATTGATTTTATGCTTCATTTACAATATGATTAATCTTAATAAATTACAAGATTTATGTGTTTTTAATAGGCTGTAAATAATTTTAAAACTTTCTGACCGACCTTGAGTCGGTTACACTACTACATAAGTTTAGTGCTGCCTTGCCTGGGTTCATTATGGCAATTGATTTTTTTTTTTCGGAAAATACTTACAACAATAATTGCGTGAATAAATATTTCCCTTGTTATTTGGGTATAATTTTATTTTTAAATTTAATTTTGATTTTTAGTTGCAGAAAATGTCACAAATTTGATTTTCGTTCTATCTCAAAGTATAATTTAAATGAAATTACTTTTATTATTTTAATTTATTTTATGACTTCATTTATTTTTATTATATTATATTTTATTTCATTTTGAATTTCTTATTAAATATTTTTTTTTCTTGTTTTAATATTATTTTTTTTTCTTTTTTTATTACTTTACTGTTCTATTTTCTTTTCATTTATTTCCTTTTATTTTATTCTATTTTATATTATTTTTAAACTTATTTTATTTTAAATTTTGCCTTTTAATGTGACTTTATTTTTAGACTTGCTTTTATTCTCTTTTTTATTAACTAATTTTCATTTTTTTTTATTTTTTTTTTATTTTTTTCTTTTTATCTACAATACTTTACTACTTCAATTTCTTTTCATTTATCTCTATTTATTTTAATCTATTTCTTATTACTTTATTTTAAATATGCCTTTTAATGTGACTTTATTTTTAGACTTGCTTTTACTCATTCTTTTATCAACTAATTTTTATTTTATTTTATTTTTCATTATTATTATTCTTTATATTTATATTTTCATTTTCAATTTATTTTATTTTAATTTATTTAAATATGTTTTCATTTTCTTTTTATATACTTTACTACTCAATTCTTTTCACTTATTTCATTTTATTTTATTCCATTTCTTATTATTTTATTTCAAATTTAGTCTTTTTATGTAACTTTTTTTTTGATTTGCTTTTAAATTTACTTTTTTATATTAATTAGTTCTTATTTAATTTTTTTCTTTATATTTATATTTTCATTTTCATTTTTTTTATTTTAATTTATTTAAATACGTTTTTTTCTTTTTATAGTTTGTTTTATTTTATACTTCCTTTTTATTGGATACTATTTAAATTAATTTTTGTATTTTTCACTTTTTAATTTTTTTGAATTAACTTTACATTATATTATTTGAAAATTTTATTTTATTTCGTTTTTTTAATGCTATTTTATTGTATTTTTATTAAATTTTTTTTTTTTCGAATTAGAATTTACTTAATTTTATCTTTTAATTTTTTTTTTTTGTATTTTAATTGGTTTTGCTCTTTTATATTAAATTATGTTTTATTATATTTTTTACTTTCCTTTATTTTGTTGTATTTTATTGTAAATAACTTTTCTTTTTATTATTTTTTTTTATATTTTGTTTTATTTTATTTTTTTTATTTTTTTAATTAATTTTTAATTGTTTTATAATTTATTTTGTTTTATTTTATTTTGTTTGCTTTATTTAATTTATTTAATTTTATTTAAATTTATTTTATGTTATTTTAGTTTATTCTATTTTGGTCCAAAAAAAATTATTAGATTAAAACAAAAAATAAAATGAAACATATTATTTTTTTTATTTTTAGAATAAAAAATTACATTAAGCAAACTATTTTATTTTTTGTTTTTATTTATTTTATTTTTCTTTAATTTATTTCGCGTATTTTATTTTATGTTTTTGGCTTAAGTTATCCCCTTTTTTTAATTTATTTAATTTTGTTTAATTTAATTTTATTTTATTTTTATTACTCTTATTTTATTTACTTTTAAATTTGAAAAAATAATATTCTTTTTATATATGCACATTCATCACTGCCTATCAAATTACCTTTACACTGTTTGTTTACTTACAAATTCGCTTTGTAGCAATAATATTAAAATATTTTTTTTCGGTATTTTCATTTTTTATTTAAGATTTTTCGTTTTTCGCTGGCGTTGACGAAAAACGATTTTTGTGCAACAAATGAATTTTAACGGGCTTATACTTTTTAACAACTTTTCCATTTCGTTGAAGTACAACAACAATAGCTTCGTGGAAAATATAGACATACACATTCGTATATTTGCACAAAAAATATTTCATTTGCTTGGCAATACATTGCAATTTTAATTGGCCTATTTTGGTGTTTTTGTTGCTTATTAGGCAAATTGCTTATATTTTAAGTGCTTCAAACCGTCCCCGATACTGCAAACTAAGCATTGCATTTACTAAAAATTGTTTTCAAAATAATTGCAACAGAAAGCAGAAAGTCAGCGAAAAGTGGAGTAATAAAGACACGAGCGAGTGTGTGTACGAATGAACATATACAGACACAAAATAATTTTTATAGTCATATTTGTACTTCTGGCTAAAAAGCACACTATCCAAACAAAAATACATTTCACAAGTCTTAGAGCCAAAGTTCAGCAATATTTTTGCTGGGGAATCACTAAAACTGATATACGAGTAGGTCTAATGTCCGAGCCGTAGTCTCACGAAAATTCTTTTTTATTAGATTCGTCACTCCCGTGTCATTTGATTAACCTTCTCGTTACCGAGCCGGATTATGGGTATAGGAGAAATATGAAGAAGTGAAAAAATTATTCAATTTTATTTTTATTCAATTTCAAAAAAAAAATGCTTATTATTTAAAAAAAAATTGTATCAATTTTTATTTTTCTATCTGCACTGTTTATGGAACGGTAGTGAAAGGGTTAAATAAATTCTTTTCAAAGATGAAACGAATTCTCTTAAACAAATTTGTCTATGTCATTTAGTGGTAGAGGTGAATGAGGTGAAATCACTAAAAACATTATTGCCAAAAAGAAAAGAAAACGATTTAAGCCTTCATAGAATTAAATGCCTATTTAAATATTAAAAGTGTCGTCAAATGCTCTTCAAAAGTATTTTATTATATTTTATGAAGTCATAATTAACTCATTATGTCTCGCATAATTGTATTAATTTCATCTGGAATATTTTATTACAGCTGAAATAATGGAAGATTTCCAAAAAAAAAAAAAAAAAAAAATAGGGAAAATCATGATTTATTATTTATATTAGAAGCTTTCGAATGGTTTTCTGGTTAGTTATTCTTTAAATATCTCCCTTCCGCTTTTTTGATGATAATTTTTGAATTTGAAAGGTCTTGACATAACCTACAAAACAACGCTATGTATGATTAGTTTGGATATTGCGTTCAACAGTTATAGGCGTGTAAACATGGACTGTAACACTTTTTATTAAGCATTGAATGAAGTGCAAAAAGAGTATATATCCCCTATTAATTATAATATTTTTTTTTTGCTATTTTTCATTATTTTTCAGTCTTTATTTAGAGAGTATTTTCTATTGAGAAATTTGAAATTTTACTTCCACATAAATATCATCCAAAATAAATATTTTTTTAATAAAAATATTGAATTTTCACTTACCTATAAACGAATGGCCCCACTTCCGTTAATCGTGGCTTTTCCCCATTCAGGAAACCATCTGGATTTGTGACATTATAAATATAAACTTTAGTTAACCGTACGACACCTGGTCGTTGCCAATAATGAAAGCTTAACGTATCATTCCATAACTGTAGATTCTATAATAAAAAAGATAAATGCAAAGAAGATTTAAAACTTCTGTTTTAATTTTTTTTTTTATTCAAAAATATTCAATTTTACAGCACAAATTAGTACCAAAAGTCAATCCACCAATTTCATCTGGCTCAAAAACGAGAACTACGCAAAATTCGTTTAACGAACCGAGCCTTTCACTCTGACGGCGTTATGTAGGTGATTCTCAAAGATCCCCTACACACGTAACGCTCTCAATAATTTCTTGGGTTTGCTAGCTTAATTTGAAATACCATTAATTCTACTCATTATTCTAGATCGGAAAGTGTCCAACGTAGTTTTATTCGTTTAACCCTCGCATATATTTCCTATTACTCATCGTTCCATTGACTGCTGTTTACTCCGTAGCCATTACTCAATTAGCTAAGATGTTCCAAAAAAAATCTTTTCTTGAAAATTCTTAATGCCGACTCATTACAGGTTGTCACTACACCATATAGAAGGACGGAAAAGATAAATGGCTTGTAGAGTTTCGTTTTCGTTTGTCGGGAGAGGACTCTACTTTTCAGTTGCTAGGGTAGCCGAGTGATTAGCATTGCGTACTGCCATTCGGAAGGCTCATGGTGTCGTACTAACATCAAAAACGTTTTAGAAAATTAATTTAAAATAAAAAATTAAGCTAATCTTCGGCAGGGAATGTCTACACCTCCAAGTGTATTTCTGACATCAAATTAACAGGTCCTTATAATAAACCATTAGCCGTTCGGAGGCGGCTTAGTATTAACTGTAGTTCCCTACATTTGTTGGAAAAACAACAAGACGCAAAACGAAAAATTAAGGGGGAGCTCAGCCGAAAAATCGCTACAGCGGTTACAAAGCGCACAAGGCACTTTCTTGTTGTTTCTGCGTTGGCTTTCCAAGCTGATATTGCTCTTGGCGTTAAAGCTGCTTGATAGATAGACGAAATCATCGTAGTTAATTATATCTTGCGGAACGTAAGGAAATGTTTTCATAAGCGAGAGCCGTAAGAACGACGCTGAAGGACACATAAGAACACTGGAATCCGTAACTAGATCGAACGGCTGCTAGACCGTTATAAATATATTTAAAGACTGTAAAGATACAAATAAATCTCGAAGTGATTACAGTGGCTTGGTGACAAGTCATATCCTACAAGGGAAATATATAAGTACATAACCCCTGCTGTCGCTGTTCCATATACTCATTGAATGCTTGAAAAATTTATCATGGGTTATATTTGTATCATAACTTTATTTATTAATGATTAAGGGAATATAACATTTTTGGCTTTACCATTGACATTGGTCCGTTTTCCTGATAGAGGAATAGTCCGACTTTTACAATAGGCCAGTCCCCGTTCCTATTCAGGGCTCATCTAAGTAAAAAACCACCTATTCACCGAATTTTAAATAAATCCAACTATAAAAATGATTTTTTGAATAGGCAGATGTTAATGTTAATCTACGCAAAAGGCTAATTATGTACCAAATTTCAAGTAAATCGAGCAATAAATAAGATTTCTTCGAATAGGTCAGTCCACTTCCCGAAAACTCTATAAGTTTTGGAGATTTTTCGAGAATACAGGACTTTTCCAAGCGTTTTATACTATAAGATTATCAGTGTTACAAGCAGAAAATGTGGAGACACGGACTAGAGTGAAACATTAGATAACCACGCCTAAGTCAGAAAGATAGAAGAAGCCTTAAAGTAATATATAAAGATACCCTTCAACTTGTAAATAACATCGATTATTATTCATAAAATTAATTTAAACCACTATCTTCAAAGCACCAACTGGTCATTTCTGTAATCTATCTAACACAACCAGAAATTTATTCCAGTACTGGAAAGTATCGAATAACCTGCCGACCTACTCATACACAAACTGAAGTGTTTTTGGATTTTGCAGAATTTTTGAACCTTACAAAATGACTGCTATTTTACTCACCTTTAATATAAAATAATCCAGCCATGGTATTGTTGAGAGAATAATTCCTAAAATTAATATAACTATACCAATAATTATCACAGCTAGTCTATCTGGAATTAAAAAGAAAATAATTTAAATTAATAAAATAAAAAAATAAATAAAAACTTAAAAAAATAAGTAAGCAACAAATTAATTAATTAACTATTAAATAATAAACCAATAAAAAGATGAATAAAAAAAGGATTTAAATTAAACTAAAAAAATTAAATACATAACAATTATTTTATCGAACTTTCAAACGAATGTATTCTATTTGAAAAACGGCTTGGGTATTTGTAATCCAAACACAGTAAGAAATATGTATTCGGTCGGGCCTCATTGAACTACACCAAATTAGAGATTTGACATCATCAATGACACTCTCGATGTGTCTAATAATAATATACAAGGTATGCGCCTGACGGAGTGGGTACTTTTATGCTTGATAAAAATGTTGAAACCTAACGTCGAAAAGGGAGAGTATTTAATCGCAACTGGCAGAAGATCAATTATAAATTACAAAATGAAAAATTCAGGTCAACCCATCGCCTCGCAGCTGCGACTCGGCCTCGCTTGATTATTTGTTGCGGGTAGCCGTTAGGGATAAGTGCTACAGAAATTATTCATGACTTATGTAAACCTTGAAATTGTAGTCATCATTAAAGCCATCGTGGGACAAATATTCGAAAATGTGTTCGAAATTTGAGTCGGCAGACATAAGAGAATGGGCTGCTGCTAGGTCAGGTCTACAAATGATCACCTCACCAATTTCAGCAAACTTCGATCTGTTTGAGATAGTTTTCGACCATTTTTTCGGTACACATTGGGCAGCATCTCAGCCATAACTTACTGAATGTTGGTTTTCAAGTGCTCAAGCGTTAAAGGTTTATCCGCATAAACACGATATTGATGTCGAATCGCACGATCTCGGTGACCAACTGACGTCGTCAAACTGATATATTACGCGATAAGTAATTTCCCTCGCCATGCAGCCGATTCGTTAGTGTTGTGTGGCACGAGGCAAAAAAAAGTCGGCTATCATACGACCATAGCCGTCCTCGTTTTCAAAGAAGTTACGTCTTAACTTAACCCCTCACCGAAGAATACACCAGACAATAAGTTTTTTTTTAAATGTAACGGCTTTCCTTCAATTATTTTTAGTATTCGCGGAGCACCAAGTGCTATTTGCGTATTCCCTAGATGAGAAATACTCTTGGTCGCTGAAGGGGATGTTGTTCGAAAAAGAGCCGTTCACTACTTGTTGTTCATATACCCAACCAGCCTGTGAATGGCGATTAGCTGGCTTCAGTTGATGTAAGTGTAAGTCCAAGTGTAAAATACCTCATAATGTGCCTTAAGAAAGTACCAGCTGATGGGAACCTCGAGAAATAGACACATTCGGCTAGACTTTCACTCACAGTACCGATATTCGAGTTGAAATGAGGAAAATATTGACGATGAACAGGCCTTATAAAATCTACAACCGATGGAGTCTCTTCAAATTTCTTCAAAATTTTATCACTTGCTTGAGTAGTTTGCCTATTCCCATGCCAACAGGGCACTCTACAGCTATATCTTCCTGAAATATACACATGTTTTATCAATGCATTTTGTTATTTATTTAACTCAGAGCGGATGTTAATTCCGTCGATTGCATTTCGTAGCACATAACCATACATACGTACATATTTACGTACAAACATTGAGCGCAAAGTGTTAATTGATTGAAAAAACAATGAAAATGAGTAGGTAAGTAAGTGCAATTTTTTGTTGTTGCTTTTTTTTATTTTTTTTGGTACCTTAATGCATAACTTGCAATGCGTATAACTGTGCATAAAATATACATATGTACATTTACATTCATTATATACTCGCTTGTATGTATGTACGTGTGTATAAAGATGTTGTAAAAATGGGCGATGCTGTTGGTATTGTAATTTTAGGAATTACTTTTGCTTTTATTAAACGTAAATCACGTGGCATTGTCCACATTTTGAATCATCCGTTATGCCACTTTTGAACGGTGTTTTATGACCCTTGCGATTATATAAGCAGCTATGTAGTATGTATGTACAGCTGAAGTTACACTGTAATGTGCCGCTTTCGAAAACTTCCCCCAAGGATTTTGGTGAGCGATATTTTGTGTGGCCTTGTGATGAGTGAAGTGGTGTATTGAGATGTTTTGAGATGTGGCAATTTTGAGCAAAAAGTTGCATATTGTGTGTGATATGATATATGCACATATGTATGTGTAGACGTATTTATAAAAATGTTTAAATTTTAAGAATTTTTTTTCAGAAACAATTTTACTTTTACTCTTCACTTCAAAAAAAAAAAAAAAATTATAATAATAAAATAAAATACCGTGTCTATGCAAGCACAAGTTTCTAGGGGTTTAAATGGATTTATGCGGCGAAAAAGTGCTATTTTCAACATATTTTTTATCTAAAATGTTGTAATATTTCATTCAATCTATTTACTATCTCAAAGTTACGCATTTGAAAAAGAATTTCTAAATTTTTCAAAGCGAAATATTCCTAACTCGGGCATTGTGATGTCATTTCAGGTGACCTCTCGGCAGAAAAGTGCATCTGCGCTGACAGTAAAACTCATGACAACATGACAACATCATCTAGAGTGAAATAAACAGGCCTATTCTGTCGAGATAACAATTTTACAATTTTACTTTGGTATTAAACACAGTAAATTTTGTTACTATTTCGTATTCTGAGTTCATTGTCACCCTGTAAGTTTTGTTACCAGCGAAATATAAGAGGTAGTAAACTTTGAAAAAAAAAAAACAAACACTCTGACTTTGACCCTAGATGCGTAGCTGTAATAGTTTCGGGGTAATCCTAAAACGCGTTTTTCTTGAAACAACGTTTTCAAAAACAAATCATCCGATCGACTTGAAACTTTCTTTTATTGTATTCAGCATTAATTCAGGCATAAAGTGTACTCAAATATTTCGATCGGATTAAAATTGTAAATATTCTTTGGAAAATACTGTCAGATTTTTAACCTAAATTTAAACTTTTTTTCAAGGTTGCGCCTGAAGGCACATAGAATGACAGTAAAATGGAAACTTTTTTATCGGACCTAAACGGAATAGCGCATATCTCGTGGAGAATGCAGGATTTCCGTTTGAAAAACTTGTACAAAAATACAACATTTATAGATCAATATACTCTTGATACAGTAAAACAGTCATTGAAGAACTTTTCTTTAAAAAAATTTCCAAAAATCGCCTATTTTTTGCTGTCACACTGGTTGAGCCCCTCAAACCAAAGAGCTTCCCCCGGTGTCAAGATAGCATAAAATTAAGTTTTTTATTGTCACGTAGACAGGCAAAAACATTAGTAACAACTGCTCACTGTTTCACTGTTTGTTTTGTAAAGTAAATAATTTTTCAAAAAAACTCTCTTCTTACCCTGTGACCAAATTTTCACCTCCACTAATTTGGTGTGTATATTTGTGTAGAGTACAAAGGACTTCTTGCAGGACTCACAAGTGAAAATGTCCACACAAATATTTGTATTTTCATAATGTTTGGCAATTTTTTTCGTTTGTGTTTTGAGATTTTCTTGCTTAGATGGTTCCTGCTTCTGTTGTTGTTGTTGTTGTTGTTGTTGTTGATGATGCTTTTGCTGCTGTGGCTCAATACTTTTGTTGCAAAGACTACAAATATAATTGAGTAGTGAACGCAATGCATTAAATTGCACTGCTTTGCTGCGTCGTAGAATCATTTTGTTTTAGCAAATTGAATTATATTTTTTTTATTTATTTATTTTTTTCAATATTTATCGATTGCATGCATACAATGTAGGGAAATCAATGTAAGTAGTGCTACATAATAATCAATTATTTTAATAAACGTTCATATGAAGCCTAATCACCGTTACTTCTAGAAGTTATTATAGAAAAAGATTTTTATCTAATTTTTTTTATTTATAATTTTTTTAATTTTTGTTTTCAGAAACATGCAATGCATCCACGACACAACTATAAATATTGCCGTTATCGTTAAAATTATTTTTATTTAACATTTTATTATTAAATATTTTATAATTGATTTTCAAGTGTTTCTTAAATGAGAGTCATATGCGCAACATTATATAATAAATAATTAAATGAATAAATACTTTTATTTAAATTTCATTTTCACATTAATTTTTTTTTTGCCTCTAATAATATTGCACCATATTTCAAACAATATTTTTTTTTATTCCAATATAATTATATGCCGCTTATTAAGGGCGCTTGCTAACGACAGGAGCACTTCATGCTCATTAAAAAAAATTATTTTCAAAAATCAATCCGATTACATTTTACTTCTTAAGTTGGTAATTGAATACTGTGACGAGTGCTTTCTTAGCATTCTTCAAAACCTTACGTGAACTCTTGCGTAAGTATGTATGTTATGTGTATACTAAGAAGAAAAAAGTTTTCGAAATCAACATGCGAATGCATTTTTCGTTTTAACTGCTTTCTTTTAGTTAGTCTTTTTACAATTTCTGTTTTATTTAATTTTTCTTATATATTTTTATTTATTTATTTTTTTGAAGACGAAACTTTTGTAAATTCAGCATTATTGTGACATCATTAAAATATACATTTTCATAAACGTGTAAAATTTATTTACACTGAGAGAAAATATTATTATAAAGAAATATTATTATTCTGCTGATTTTAAATTTATGTGTGATAAAATAATTAATTATAGTTTGATTAATCAGTCAAAAGAAAAAATGAATAAGCTACTATAAGAGACTTCCTGAAGAAGATACAAATGTCTCGAGGAGTGTTGGAGGCAGAGAAGAAAAACAAAAGTTTTTGCTTCCATTTAAATGGCCCAAAAGCTCCAAATATACTACTTTATGAATATATGAACATTGACTCCATATACAAACAAAATTAAAATAAGCATATATTTTTTCATTAAATTTTAATTATTAATTATTTCATAATTTGTTTTATTTGTTTCTATTTAATGTAAGATTTTTCAATATGGAATGAATTATGTGAATTAGATTAACAGCGTTTTTTTTAATTAAAAATATTTAATTGGTTA